GTATCTACGATTTAGCGTCATAGCTGAAGCGTCTACGAGGTTCCACGGTACAAATTACGACGCCTGGGGCCCAGGCATATCTTAATCTTGTCAGTAAACCGGCTCTCGCTCGATGCTTTCGATTGATGATACAAACTGTTCTGGTAGTACCTGACAAGTTCGTTGCAGTCTGCTCGGCTCCCGGTGAACTTTTTCTCGTCAAGATCTGGATGCAATTTTCATGGAATAAATAATCTAAAAGAAATACGTTGTACCTGCTAAAATAGATCCCACCGATCCACCATCCTTTCTTCGACGTTAACGAGAGCTCGAAAAAAATTACCATTTTGAAGTTGAGGTAGGGACTCTGCGTAGACCAATCTGAAACAGAAAATTCGTTAATACCGAGCCGATTTTTCACGTCGTCTAGCTGTGTATTTTCATGCATTTAACATCGATAATTTTCATTGGGAACGTTCCTTGCTACACCGTCCTCTCCACTCGACTCTCCCATGGTTCTACCGATTTTAAATAATTTGTACCGAGCGTCGTTGGATTTAATTTTTCCGGCGTATCCGGTGTCGCGGGACAACTCGAATGACAAGCTAAAATTTACTTCACGGCGACAGATGCTCGTCGCGGAACAACTCCGCGGCGATCAAAGAACTCGCGGCTGCACGCGTAACGGACCACGGCAGTCGCATCTGCCGCGAACCGCGACTTGATTTATGCCTGTCCTGACTAACGGATCGCTGGAAATTTCATAATCGAGTCCACGCGAACGACGATTCGTTCGGAACTACGACGCACCGTGGACGGAAACGACGAAATGCTGGCGAAAAATTTTACAGTGCAGAGATACTCCCGTACGTGGTTGACTGCCGTGGGGGTCACCGGTGGCCGGCACACGACTTGGTTACAGCGCCGTGGGGGCCACCGGTGACCGTCGACGCGACCAATAGTAAAAATACGCAGTCAACGTGTTAAAAGAGAAAAGAAGAGTCGCGTCGTGGGTTACGTTTCCCGAGACTTTTCGAGCACCCCGTATACGCGCACCTGCGTCGTGTAAGACACCAACCACCTCCTCGGCCTCCTCGGCGCGTTAAGCACGAGGGGTTGCAGAGCGTGGTGGTTCGTTCACGGGAGAATCTGACGGAGGGAAGGTGGTAATCGCGAGGGAAAGAGGGACGGGACTCCGACGGTCTCTAACTCGGAGAAAAGGAGAGACGAAAAGCGGCAGAGCGAAGCCACAGGCGGCCAGCCGTGTCTCCGGCGAACTCGGTCGGCAGCTCTCTTGCCAATCCCGGCAAGTTTCCACTTCTATGTATGTTTATGCACCTCCAGCGTGCCTGTCGTACCCATCGACCATGGGCTCCACTTACGTCGGGCACACATCACGCGCGATGTGTGTTCTACCGGCGAACAAACGACGGTGCGCTGACCTTTTCCTCGCTGGATGGAAAGCACGCGAGGGGAAAAAAAAAAAAAAAAAAAAAAAATAAAATCGCTCCTCGTGACTTCCTGCACCTCGTCGTTGGAAATTATACGCGCAAATATTTTCAAACGAACGGGAAATATCGATGGTAATCGGTGTTCGTTCTCTGTTCCATCGACGCGCCGACAACGATCCGGCGCGAGACGAAAAACGACCGACAGCCTCGGACGAGCGTTATCTGGATACCGTCTGCCGTCGATTAGAAACACAACGTAAGCTTTTACGACGAGCCGCTTTAAAATCTCTACCGCGAGCGTGATCTTGCTTTCCATACGTTTGGAGCAAGTACAGATGGCCAGATTCGAAGTCTCGGGAAGCTCTTGAAAGTCTTCGAGTCGCGGGACAGCATAGAATGTTTATAGTTATCTTAGAAAGCTTGAGGTATTCGCGTACATTGTTTGTCCGATATTCGGATTTCCCTCTATGTACGTTTCCAGTTCGTTCATCGAGCCAAACTGATCGGTACCGGGTCTACGATTTCGTATCACCCGGTAGAAAATTTAGCCAGGCTTCCGAGGTTAGGCCATAGCCGGTGGCAGGGGTAGCGCACGAAGGAACGAACGAGCGAGGCTCACTCTTGCAGAGTGCCGCTGTTAGCGCATCGCACTATGACTAATTACGAGCACAACCCACCCCGCTGTCGGCCGATACGGCCCTATAAACGCTGGAGCACCACCGCGAGTCATTGTTCCTTTCCACGTCTCTGCGTGCTCCTTCGTCCCCGTTCCACCTTCATTCTGGCTTTTTTTTTCCTTGCCGTGCTCTCCTTCTTCTGTCTCTCGAGCCGCTCGCGTACTCGCTCGAGGGTACCGAAGCGACTCGCGATAGCTCGTGCCTCGAACGCGGCTTTGTCACGGCATGCACTTTCCTGACAGGGACCTTCTCCCCGTAATGGGCTACGATTTTCTTATTTTCCTACGTCGAATTTCATACCTGGCCGACCGTTTTCTCGGAATCCATATACCAGCCAGGCAACGGAACGCGACACGCCGTCATTTTTTCCAATCGCGGAACGCACGGCTGGTAATTATCGCGACCGATCTCGGCAACAACACGTTCCCGGCGCGCTGCTGAATCTACAATTGTAATAGGAAGTATCGGGGGTGGGGCGCTAATCGTCGAGCGTGTTTTCCTAGCCGTGTACGATTCGACCGTGATATACCGTTCCGATGCGATCCGAGTCGCCATAAGCGGCGAAGCTCGCGCCCGTAGATGATCCTTCCGAAGGTAATCTATTCCGCGGTATCCGAGGTGCCCGTGGTTTCTCGCCTCCGTAATTTAGGAGGAAACGATTTACTGTTTCCGGTAATGGGCACCAGCAAACCGTGTCCGCGCAAAGTCACGGTTTGAAGACGGAGAAGCGGCCGATTAACAAAAAGCGCGTTTATTAGCGTGTACCGCACAACGGTCGCCTAATTTGGACGGTACCGTTACACGGCGCAAATACAAGCCGGAGAAATAAAGAGTCGACGGTTGGAGGCTTAATGACATATTGTGCCGATAACTAAGCCGCTAATTATTGCCAACCGACGCCTCGTAACGTGTTATTAAAATTACTCTCGTGAAAATTAAACGTTCCAAAGCAAATCTCTCGAATAAGTGGGAGTCCGCGAGTATTTTTTTCTAAAGTCTTTAGTTCCGTCGAGGGTACTATGAATTTCTCGTGGTTCGCACGTATTTACGAGTTCTTCTGTACCATTGTTCCGACAGAGCGGTCGGTATCTTTCCACGAATAGACGATATTACGGTAGGAGGGCTCGGAGCGCGAAAGACACGGAAGGTAGGAGAACATCCTGTGTCGTAGGACCCCCCTTCGCGCTCTGCTAACTTTACTTCGTAACGCTGATTTCCTAAGTATCCTTCCTTTCCACGATCTACCGAGCTGAGCCGAACGAGACAGCAGAGACTGGCCTGTATGAAAATTTAGATGCTCTTAATTAAAGTAGATCGATCCACGTGCAACTGCACGATTTATCGCGCACCAATTTGCCCCTTTTCATCCCCCTTTTGTCCATACAAAACAATGGAATGTTCTAAACAGATACGAAGTACAAGTGTATTTTTATTTAGAACGTACCGCATTATGTTTCGACTTTAACTTGTTTCTATTGTGTATTTATTTTCTCGGAAATACACAATTACCGTTTTACTAGATTTCTTGCTCTACCAGATTGCTAAACTCTTACTCGGTTAACACTGAAAAATATAAATTAATATTAATGTTATATTGCGTTATTTAAATTTATTTAGATTCAATTTGAAATTAATCTACAATTAGCTTAATTCATATAGATTTGATACTGTAAATATTTTTTAAAATGATTCCTTGTTAATGGAGTTTTCTACTATTTAAATCCGTCAAAGTTACCAAGCAAGTCGAGGAAAATTATCTACCACCGCAAACGAAGTATACGAGTGTACCTGGTCTGTGTATCCACCTTGTACCATTCATGGATAACTTTGCAGTCGGCGCATGATATGCTCGGTCGGTATAAAAAAAAGCATTCACTACCGACGAGGTATACGAGTAGATCTAACGAGTATGAACACGAGAGGAAGTGAGACAGAAAGTAAATTACAGAAATTTTATTATTTTTTAACGGAATGGAAGCTGTACGGTCCAGAATTGGGCATCGATCGATTAATTTAAATTTTCTAATTTCGCCGAAAATTTCTGCACCTACTCGAATTTTTGTCTAGAAAGTGCGTAGGATTTCGGGGGTATGTCTATCCACCAAAAATGATCGTAATTTACCCCCGCAACCAAAAATAATTTTTTCAGAACGATTTGAAATCTTTAGGGTTATGGACCCAGTTACTGTCAACTTAAACTGTTTTACTTAAAATATCGAATAAACCTTACGAAGTTATGAGCAAAATCATCTAACATTACATTAAAACTCATTTTAAGGGGGGCCAGTAATAGCACAGACGTGCTCTCGAAACATTCTTTCTAAATTAGAAATACTGTAGATTGCAGTATTACTTTTCTCAAATTACAGACATCGAATAATAACAAATATGTAGAAAGATTTGCATTTTTGAAAAATAAATAAGTAATGAAGTCTTACCAAAGTTGATGGTTTGGTTGGACCTTTTACTCTACATACACTGGACCGCCGACGAATACCTTGTCCTTGGTCCTTGCCTTCATCTTGTTCCAGTTGTTTCGAAGACATATTATGTCGTTTATATTATGTCGAGACGTTCAGGCATAAATCGGACATCCTTGAAATGTCGTGTGTTGTATGGATTATTAATAACGAGTGAATAATTATTACCTATTCTGGGACTTGCGAGCCTCCAATCTGTGTAACAGAAAAACGTATTGCATGCAACGTCTGTTCTATACCTTGTCTGTGCCTTAACCAATAACGATGGCCGTAACATAAAATGGTAGGGGGGTTCACAAAAACCGTCGTTCGCAGCGTCTACTGTGCGCCTCGTTCGTGGCGATACTAACTTTCATAAGATGTTGGCTCTACTCTATACCTCGTTTGTGGTATAATCACCGTGGTATTATCAACACATGTGCAAAACGATGTTCGCATGCGCTGGAAATCGAAATTTACAGAATATCCTTCAATCAACAAATATTGTAAATCAGAGATACTTTTGAATAGAAAAGTAGTGAAAATATCGTTAATGTACGTCTGTATCTGAAAGTGCAGTTCACTGTGGGACGCTTTCGATAAAAATGAAATTACTAGTGATGTGTACTCGATAGAGACGAGCATACTTGTATGTGATTGCTGAAAGATTTAAACTTAAAGCAATAATGGAGTGCATAGTGGCAAACGTAGATCATATGCGATTTGATATTGAAATCGCTCTTGACGAACAATATGGAGCTCTTCCGTTACCTTTTACCGGAATGGATAGTACGTAATTGTTTTTTCGCTGTATACCGATACACACTTGATTAGGTTATACCATAGAAAACATAGAACAAGTTAACAACATAAACATATCAAAATGTGTTGATTAAAGTGTAAAATAATAAACATTGTTGCTGTATATTTCTTGAATAAAAGATATTTAATTACATTGACGGTTCTTAGCAGAATGTTAATTGTTTAATTTACGTTTACATTGTTTACTTGTCATTAGATATATTAGACTTCCAATCTAATATGTTTTCTAGAATCCACTGCTGCTGTATGCCAATTTTATCCAAGAGGTACTTGCGTTAAAGGAGCCTCCTGTCCATTTAGACATGTACGAGGGGATCGTACAATTGTATGTAAACATTGGCTAAGAGGCCTTTGTAAAAAAGGGGATCAATGTGAATTTTTACACGAATATGACATGACAAAAATGCCAGAATGTTATTTTTACTCTAGATTTAGTAAGTGTGTTAATATACAAAACTGTGTATATGAATATTTTTCTGTTCAGAAACATATTTGTAAATATATTCTTTTATTCTTTTGTGTGTGTTCAAGATAATGTGTATAAATAAACAAGTACCTGTTAATATTTCTCTTTCTCTGGTATTACTAAGTTTTCATGGCACAGGTATATTAACATCGGTTATCCATTACTAGATGCCTGTCACAATAAGGAATGTCCATTCTTGCACATTGATCCAGAAACTAAGGTCAGAGATTGTCCTTGGTATGATAGAGGATTTTGTAGGCATGGACCATTATGCAGACATCGACACGTTCGTCGTGTTCTATGTATGGCATACTTGGCTGGATTTTGTCCCGAAGGTCCAAATTGTAAATTTATGCAGTAAGTTTGTTGTAAAATGTTTTTAAATACGTCTCGTTTAAATTCAACGTTTTCCGTAATCTTTCCTTTTATTTCTAGCCCAAGATTTGAATTACCAGCAGTACAAGATATGCAACCTAAAGAAGGGAAGAAGGTGATGATTACGTGTCATTTTTGCGGAGAAGGTGGTCATAAAGCCATTTACTGCAATAAAATGCCACCCGACGTGCGCGAAGCACAAGTTAGACAAGAAATAGAAGGTAATTCTCATTCAGCGCATCATATGAACATGCATAACGGACCGCCTCCTCGAGGACCGCAAAAGCCACTCGAAGAAGTCACTTGTTACAAATGTGGAACTAAAGGTCACTATGCTAACAAATGTCCAAAAGGGCACTTAGCATTTTTAAGTCACGCAGGAGGTAGCGGAGGTGGAAGTCAAAATCAAAATTATCGTAGATGATTTTACTTATTTTATTTGTGTAACATCGATATTGTGATTTTATTTTATTCTAGTAAGATCACTTACCTGTAAAAATTTCTTTATTGCATAGTAAAATAAGTTCAATAAAATGAAATTTAACATTGACTCTTAATCCACGGATTCCGACATTCATATGTAAAATAAAGTAAAAATGTTTATAAAATGAAATTGAAATCATTTTCTGTAATAAAAATTTCATTAAATTAATGGACGTTGCCGACTAAAACACCATCCGATACTATAACAAATTTAAGTATTTATTGTTTAAAGAATTAAACATATTCCTAAATAAGTAGTTATTACATTTTGTAAATGCATTTAAAGGGTATTTTGCTAAGTTATTACGTACGCTATTCCTATGATCGCATCGATTTTCGTCAGAGAAAGTTATAAAAAGATATATTCGTTTACTGCTAATTTATTTTTCGTTCGTGACGTTAAACATGGGAAGACGTACTTCGCCATTTGTGTATGTATTGGCATTGTGAGACTATTAAAGTTTAAAATCTTGTCCGCTAAAATATTAACAATATTTATTTTCTGCGTGATTAATTAGTAGAAATATTTAAATTTCTTAATGTGTGTGCACTCATCTGTAAAACGGTAATTCGTTCTTCCATTATGAATACGTACTATTCTTCAGAATACGTTGTATCTAAATACATAAAATTGTACGTTTTGTATTAAAAAGAAAATACGATGTCACCATAACAATGAAAATACTGAATATCACTTTCTGTATGCAAACAAACAAGCACGGTTTTCTTTCAATCAGAAACAAAAGTATTCTATTTTTACAAGTACGTTTCTTATCATGTCGTGTTATACTCGATAACTTCAACATAATTAGCGGGGAAAAGTCCATACGTTCCGTCAGGTCCAAGACCTTGCCACCATCCTTCGTCGATGGCGTCTATGTGCGTAATAATATCTCCAGGATCGAATGTAATTTCTGTGTCGTCGGCTGCTTGATAATCGTACAACGCCCTGGCTTTCATTCCTTCGTTGTTTGGGTCAAAGTACAAGTACTGACCATCCATTTGGCTGTACAATTCATTTTCAGTAACTACTTCTTTTGTCACTGGCGGTTCTTCGGGTTCTTCTAGTGGCTCGGTCGCTTTCGATTCTACGTGTTGATTTTGAGCCACGGGTGCAATCGAAACAGAGTTTGTCACTGCATCCAAGTTATGCGTTGTATTCGCTTCAATTTTCTCTTCCTCCTCTATTTTAGTCTCAGGTATTTCCTTCTGCTCGCTCTCCTCGAGCGGCTTCTTAGCTGTTTCCACCTGACTACTTTTCACAGCATATTGTTGCTGTGACGACGTCATTTGACCGGCGGCGGAGTTTTGTTCAAAAACTGCTCGTGCATTTATCGTTCTTTGAGCAATTAACTGTTGCGTTTCTTTACTTCTTTGCCGTCGCAATTCTTCGCTTCGCGACTTATGGCTATCGTAAACATCGTTACTGTAATGTTGTCTTGCCGCCATTTGATTAAGAAAATTGTTCGCCTCTTCGGCACGTTGTTCTGCCATTTTTTGTCGAGCTATTGAATTTTCTTTGGCAGTGACCTATAAATATATCAAAGTTCCATTAATAAAATACGTAGTGTTAAATATTGGATTAAAATTTGCAATTTTATCTGTTTACTTGTTGTTCTCTAAGCAGTGCTTCTTTTTCCTCTCGAGCTCTAATTTCTTCTTCGAGCCGTTGACGTTCCTGCGCGCATTTAATACGTTCTTGTTCTAGTCTTTTTTTCTCCTCCATTTCTTCCTTTTGCCAAAATTGATCACGTTCAGTTGCATTTATTTCTTGCTCCGGAATTACTCTGCAATGTACAAACTCCTTAGATTTAGAAATTTATCGCTACTATCGATAATCGAACGATACGTACCTGCGATATGTGGTACCAACCGGACCTGTATTACCTTCGTTTTCGCCGCGCGGCTCATTAAATTTATACGCAGAAGCTGTTGCTCTGGCAAGCTTCTCCATAATAAAATCTACCTCGACGTCATCCTCAGAGCGAGCAGTAACTGTTATATGAGCACCTTTCAGTAATTTTTCTACATCTCTAATATGATTTGCACAAGTGCCCTTTCTAACTATCGGTGCACCTTCCCCTTGCTAAAACATAGGTTTCAAAATACATAAATAATTCGTTTTAATATAAATGCTCGATACGATAATGTTGAGCTTCTTGCTTTTAAATTCTTACCCAATTTATTAACAGACATTTTGGCAAGCTTGTTTTAGTATCTATTACTCGACAAAAGGCATACATGATATAACTACTGTTTAATCGATCGATCAACTCTTCTAAACCACCAGTCCCTGATCCAACAACCTTTAAATTGTTAGTCTGTCCTTCATATCCAAACAGAGCCCTGCATATGAAATTTGTTTTAATAATAAGGAACAATCAATTATATGTATTCGTGAGAAATTAATATGCAACAATATTGTTTATAAAATTTGGCACAGCATTAATATAGAAAAAAATTCAAGAATGTAATAATTTTATTACTTTAAAAGCAACATTTATTCTTTGTTTGTTAAATCTGTTCAGTTACTAATCGGTGCAACGAATGTTACAGAATACATATTTTATGACAATAAGTGATAATTGTGTACCTTATGCTATTAATATCGATTGATAAGAGTAAAAGAAGTAGTTTTTAATTATAGAAATGAGATTTATTTGTAGGTTTAATTGAACGATTGTATTCGAAAGTGTGACGATAGTGTATAACCAGGACGAGACAATTGTAACAGTGAAGGAAGAGATAAAAGCCTACCAGTTAGTAGACGATTTATCGTCGACTACGCTGTGCCAGGCAGCCACCAAAGCGTCTTTGTTTTTCGTTAAATTAATTGACATGTTTCTCAATTAGTTCATAAGAGATCAACCGTAACAACGAATCCGATCGAGTTGCTACCAGCGAATTAATGTCACAGACGCATCTTCCCGTTTCGCCTTTTTGATTAAATGTCAACGCCCTTCTGTTACCAACCGTAAAACGGTGATCTTGTACAGGCAACACATTTTAATCATTTTACAACTAATTGAACGAACTTCTATTTAAATTGCACAAATAACTACGAAATCTAACGAATGCTAAAACACATTTAGTCAAAATTTTATTGAAAAGCCAACCTTGATGATATTCTTCAAGACTACGTATAAAGAACGATTGGTGGCGTTCTACGTACCGATGGAAGACCCTCCAATCACAAGTGTAATACAAGTAAAATAAATATTCAATGCGAGTGAAATATTTAACAGAGTACTATTATATTAGATTAATTCTTATCTTTTATCTGTAATTTGATCAATAAACAGATAGCGTTCGATTACAAATACAAGTAAACTCTTTCTGGAATCAAAGTCATGGACGGACCGTTTGAGACAGATATCGAACTTAATGCCCATTGAAACGTAAACTCGAAAACGTGTGCAGTGACACTTTCAAATAAATTGTCAACATAACAATTTTCTACCAATAATCAAAGCGAACGTAATCTTAAATATAAATAATATTTCTATTTGCACTATGTTATTTAAATAATACAATCAAAAAGGTTAGAGGAAACTAAATACTTTTAATTTATCAAGAATGGTAAGTTCACAGTTTTCCGTTGACCGGTTAACCTTCGTTCTTACCAGACCGAAGTAATTTTATTTTAGCATTTATTTGCAGTTATTCTATTCGTTCTTTAAATCCTTGATCGGAAAGGATGTTGTCGTTGAATTGAAAAATGACCTCAGGCGAGTTAATAGTAAATACGCATTAGAACTATACTTGATGAAATTTTCTAACAAGATTATTTTATTTTTAGCATTTGTGGTACTCTACACTCTGTCGATCAGTACCTGAACATAAAGTTGACAGACATAAGCGTAGCTGATCCAGATAAATATCCTCATATGGTTTGTAATGTTAACAGTTTTTAAAACTTTCTAGGAATTCATTATGGAATATAAATGTATATTATGTTTTAGTTGTCTGTGAAAAATTGTTTCATTCGAGGATCTGTAGTACGCTATGTACAGTTGCCAGGAGATGAAGTGGATACTCAACTATTGCAAGATGCTGCGCGCAAGGAGGCAGCAGTCCAAGCAAGATAATCAATATCGTTCTTAGGTTTAAAAATGACATTGATTTCAGTTTTATTATGCAAATCAATACTAATACACAGTGAATATATAAAAAATAAATTTTTGTATGTATAAGTATGTAAAGTGATAAAAAACATAATTTTTATTGTGCATATTTCATACAATGTGTTGTAATTAGCACATTTATGTATCTTTTGTCCATTCTACCAACGACTTGTCGTGCCAGATATATTTGCCTTTGATGTCTGTATTTTCTGGCAATAATGCACAGAAAATAGGAGCCTCTGCACCTTGATCAGGTGTCAAAGGTCCCTTATGACTGGTCATATCAGTGTCAACATAGCCAGGGTGCACAGAATTTACTGCTATATCTTCTCGCGAGTCCAAGTTGAACATACCTTGATGAACTCTAGCTAAAGCAGAAACTCCTACTTTGCTTGCAACATAAGCAGAATTTGCCCAACCTTTCTCCAAGTGTGTGTTTGTCTTTGCAGCTCTGAAAGAGTACTTGTTTTAAGATTTAACGAATGTTTGTTATACCAATTAAAAAATTTGGATAGTTCAACATACTCGACAAATTCATGCATGATGTTATCCAATTCTTCTTCTGTAAGTTTCGAAGACAATCTTTTTCTCAACGATTCACCGGGAATCAATGATAAACGACCAGCAGAACTGGAAAGGTGAACTACACGTGCATGCGGTTTTAATAGTGGATAAAGTATACTACACACTTTCCTTAGGCCAAAATAATTCACTCTTATTGTCTCTTCAGCTTGCAGTGAAAATGGTTCTGTAGCAGCATTCTGTATACGCAAAAGTGAATATTTACTATATTTTTTCGAGAAAGTGGAAAAATAAATTAGTCTGTAATCACCTTGAATGCAATAGCAGCATTATTGACTAGCACATCTAGTCCTCCGTGTGTTTTTTGCAAGTAATCACGGAAGGATTTAATACTATTTTCATCTGTAACATCGAGTTGATGGAACTTTGGTGATAAACCTTGTTCCTCTAATTGTTTAACAGCATCTAATCCCAGCGTTACATTACGAGCCGTTAAATATACAACTCCATCAAATTGCTTGCAAAGACCTTTCACAATAGCAAATCCAATACCTTTATTTCCTCCAGTTACCTAAATGTTTCGTGTAATAAGAAATACGTACAAGTGACTTGAATAACAAATTCACTCGACTATATATTTTATAATGTACTTACGACAGCCACGCGTGCCATTTGTTCGTATTTTATAATAATTTTATTTAAAGGGAAGGATAAGTAGTTCTAGTGATGAGTAGTGCTGCTAACTTAATATGCGTAGTACACGGGCGTGTTTCATAGTGTCGTTACTTAAAATATTAATCGGATATAATCGAAAAAAATTATGGAAGTTTATCAGATATCGTTTTATTTTTTTAAATAACTACACTTATACTTGCAATTTTTTGTTTTTGTTATTATATAACATACACTTTAATTACGACAAAATAGACGTAATAGATTGTAGTCACAGCAATGTAAGCATAAACATTTTTTAACAGAAGTTCTTAGTCATTGCAATGGCGAATGTTTAACGGTCAGTGATGGTTTGCGAAGTAATAATTTATTTACTTTATCACTTCTAATTTAGCAATTCTATACTGTCTTGTTTGAGTATTTCTGACAAGGACAAAGGTATACGTGTTGTTAACCAATTCAAGTAGTGAATTTAAGGTTACGTATCCTAAACCTGTACCTTTCGCTTTCGCAAAAGAAAAATCACCTTCTGTTATGTATCCCATAACCTTTCGGTCACAGGAATGTTTTACTTTGACACAATCAGGAAGATATAACTGTGACATCTTTTGAGATTGTTTGCGTATAACCTCACGACTTGTTTCTAGTAATTCCTTCGACTTGTTTTGGTAATCCGAAATTTGTAAGCTTTCGGTCAAAATTTGATCTATTTTATTAGTTAATGAATTTCTATGACGTATTCTTTGTTTTTTCAAACGTTTTAAAAGAGCTACATGCGTTTTTCTCGAAGCTTTTCTTACAATTTCATTCAAGTCACGATTTATTTTTTCTACGGGTCCTGACCAATTTCTATTATTTCTAAATTTTTCTACATCTTCAGATTTTGGCATACATATTATTGCAAATCTTCTAGGACGTCCCTTTTGTAAAACAGATAATTTAACACGAACTAAACAGTTTTTATTTTCAAATAAATTCTCTAGGTTAAGATCTGGGATATGGCTCTCTGATTTATTGTATTTGCTTTTGTGAACTTTGTCGACTGATAAATTTTCTTGCAATGTTTGCAATAATGTACGATTCCTTAATACAAAAAAGTCCTCTACATCTGTCCATTCTTTCATTAAAATCTTCCATTCGCAAAAAAAGGGACTAGAAATTCCAAGTTTTATAAAATTTACACGTCTATTTGGTGGATAGTGAAAATATTTTTCTTTTAATTCTTGTTTAGTAACTAATGCTTCTCTTGTATAAGCAGGTGTGTCTGGATCATTGATCTCTGGTGACTTCATGTGTCCATATTCAAATGCAATAGATTTTGATTCTCTAAGTGCACCAACTCTTACACAACGAAATATACAAGCAAGCCAAAATGGCATTGCCCAACCTGCTGGAAGAATTAGATCTATGGCAGAACTTAAACCTATTAAAATAACATTAACATTAGTTTTAAATTTCTTATATCCGATATAAATTCAGAATCACTCTACAAGTACCTGTGTTACCAGTCCCAGGTGTTTGGATTAGGAGTATGGGAATCTTTGTTATAATCTCTTCGTTAAAATATTTGTCATTATTTATACCAGGAACTAAACACTCACTCCTAAGCTTGTTAATTGCACTTGTTGTTACGCATGCTTTGGTAATTTTCTGTCTTATCTCTTGTTCCCAAATTGGACTAGAATTTGCTTTCGAGGGTGGCACTGGCATTACTTTAACTGTCTGTACATTTCTCAGTGGCTTTACCCTTTTTTCAGGTAAATGAAACCTTGGATCTAAGACTGTAAATCCAAGAACAATATTTGGTGGTAATTGACTAGGAGACTGTAATGTCTTTAATATTTGCCACAGCTGTTTTTGAAGTTTCAAAGATTCAATATTCTCTTGATTATTATAATATTCTATATGCCAGGACTTATTAGAGCCTTGAATCTCTTCCTCACAATCCATTTGATTTTCTTCAAACCCTGTTACATTAGTATCGTTCGTTTTTGAACAAAATTTTTCATCAAAATTCGGCAATCGCAAAGCGTTCGTTAAGACGTTTATCGTTAATGGTCCGTAAAATCGAAATCGATTCAAAGCGTTCTTACGAATACACATTTTACAATTTTTCTCGTTGACGTACGAGTCGGATTTTATGGTTTGATTACTCGTAGCAGTGGAAATTACATCGTCGGATTCGAACTTGAAACTCGATGTAATTTCTGCGACGAAGTCGTCGAGAAAAGATGGATGTACCCAAATCCAGATCGTCCTTAAATCAGAATGATTTGGCCTCCACAGGAAGTGAATATGACCGATCGGAAATCGAGGATAGCCGTTCTTTTTAAAAAACATTAGGGTTCCTTCTCGAGTACCGCTAATAAAAATCTTTGCGGCGAACGTTAACTCGAATGGATTGCAGTGATCTTTTAAAGTTTCTATCAGAATTGATTCTGGACCATTTATTTCGACGGACGTATAGTAAGAAATATCCTGTATCAAACAGTGATTCGCAACGGCACGGTAATTGGCTTTAAAACATTTGTCGTTCGCGTGACTCGCGATTCTGTAGCCCCATTTTTCGACCATATGAAAACGTTTTGCGTGCCAAATGTGTGTCTCCAGCCAAACTTTGTTTCGTTGCCTTCGATTGTATTCCGAAAGTAAATTACGTGGTCGTCTACGATACCTACGCGACGGTCTTTTAATTTTAGGCGGTAAACCGGATTTAGTCATTTGATTCAAATGGGCTTCCCGCAGTCTGCGCGGTAAACGCTTCACGTTATGGGACATTACGCGTCTACGCATGTACACCGGAAGCTTTTGAAATACAAGTTTCGTTTGTTGAGGATTTTCTGTACATATAAAAATATTGAAACTAAATCATTTTATTGTTTAGTGTTATACGCATAGAATTTTATTTTTTATAAGCCACGCGAGGCCTTAAGTTTTCGACATTTGAAAGTGAAAAATATAAATGTAGCGTAATACTGATTAAAATAAAATCAAGTATCGATCAACGTACCAATAGAATACGTCATTGCAGCAATTTCACTGGCTCGCGAAGAGACAAGCTTTTTAATGTGTACTTCTTTCGGTAACTTTTGAGATCCACCTAGGTATTCATCGAACTGCTCCTTTCCCGCCATTTTTGACAAATATTTATTTTGAATCTTTGTTTACACCAAAATAAATAGACACTTTATCGTTTTATATTCTGGATGAACGGATACCACAAAATAATAATTAATAGTTTAGAGTACTCGTTATGTCTATAAATTGCAAATTATTTTATATTTTCTAACATTACTTCAACTGCTGACTTACAAGTTGCACGTGTTGGAATATACTAACGTCATAGATGTAAATATTTCAATTTAAACCTAGAATTGGTCACAAGGCGCAAATTAGTAAAAATTATTTCGCACGACTGCCCATAGGGGGCAAACTCGAGTGCATTGCAAATAGACTTAAGAATCAGAACTTTAGGTTGTACGAAATTTGATCGTAAATCGATATTTCTTATTTAAATATGAAATAAAATTTATTGTCAGTTATTTTCAAAGACATAGAAATCGTACTAAATAATTTAATTAATCTTATACACAATGGGCATTGATAGTAGTGTTGCGATTGGAATCTTCGCCAACCAATAAGAAGATCGATACAGAAACCGTTACATCGAAGAGCAATAGTTTCATTGGTCGGGCAGTTTTTTGTATTCTCGCGATATCTTCAAAGAGTAGTATTTTGCAGGAGCTGCACAGAGTTCGATATTGGCGTATAATCTGTATAATTGGGGCCCTTCGATGATGTTCAATTTGCCTACAAGTTTATCAATTAAATGTCCAGCGCGATCCCTCTGTTAAATGTCAAGATCCGTGCCGTGAAACAGTCGCCATCTTTGCGACTGAGTCGCATCCCTCGATTCGGCCTGTCGTATTGTTCGTGCAGCTTCATGTAGTGTCGGAGAGAAAAAAAATCGTTGAAAATTGGTGACGAAAGGGGCAACGCGATTCAGTGAGATCGGATAACGTTCGAGTTGTGCCGAAAGTGTTAGCCCATCGCGAAAGTGAGCGGAACGCGTGTGGGGCTTGCGTTCTCCTGGCCTCGCGAGGGCAGAAGTACATACGCGATAGAAATTGTTCGTCGTTTGACAAGTGACACACAGAGAGCCGTGCATTAAACTAGCTCGTGCGGCAATTAAAGACCCAGTTTACGACTCGTTGGCCATCTCGTTAGTTACCGGTGTATGCCATTGTAACGTGTGCTCGAACATCGTTTCGGTGGGAGAAAAATGAGTTGTCAACGCAACGCTGGCAAAATCACGGTGCCAGACGAGCTGCGGGACATTCTTTTGGAGTTCACGATCAGCTATTTGTTACAGCAACCGGTGGATATTGTCGAGTATGCCGTTGATTTTTTCACGCAACTTCGGGATAGCCGTCAGACTCAGTTGATTCAGCCCAATGCGCAGACCTGCTCCTCTACGCCGGACGAGTCTGTCGATGAAGGTGAGCGAGTGAATTTTCATTCGGGATGCGACCTCCCAACGCGTCGAGTATTCGTCTCGCGACCGAGCGATACGAACAACCTGCCGCCTAGTTTTTAGCGCGCCGTTAACGGTACCGCTTCGATTTGGAAATTCGACTCTTTCGTTTGTCATTGTGAAACTTGACCGGTGTCAGCAGTCTTCGCGGTTTCGTGAAAAAATTTGCATACACGCGTATCAATGGATATCGGTACAATTCTTTCTACTCAATTTATAAATCATTTTACGAATTGCTCGTGGAAATTTGAATATTTCCAATTCGCTTTATTTACCATATTAATCTGTTTACCCACCTAGGTTCATAAATCGTTCCTTTATAGAATTTCGGAGTTTATTTAATAAAGAAGAAAGCATATTGTTATCGTGCGTATTTGAAATTAAACATTCAAGGTTATTTCACTCGTTACAGAACCACCGGTCGGAAGGTTCGCGACTAGGAGGAAGAGTATTTTTACGGAGACGTATAATCCTGAGGAAGATAAGGAAGATGATCTAGCCAAGGTATGTCAGTGTGTTCGTTTTTCATTAAATATTTCTTTTACATCAACAATCATAGTTTCTTTTTTTTTTTTAATGACATTTCTTTTGTTGTCGTACGTATCTTGCTCTTAGTTGCTTTACGCGAGGAACCGTGTTGTCGATATCTTCGAACGAAAGCTGCGTGTATTGAATTGATAATCGATTGATACAATTTAATCGATGACAGAGGAGCCAGGATCGGAATCTCGGAGATCGAGAACATCGAGGATTCGTTAAAAAACATCGATATACATTGTACTTTTGAGTCGAGTCGCGGAAGGATCGAAAAGATCCTTTTATTTCGGTATATTCGACCATGAAAAGAACAGGGTTAATGTGTCTCACGGACGGATACATCGCACACGTGCATATACGTAGCGTATGTAGAAGAGCTAAATGTGGATGCTTTATGATTTCTTCGAATAATAACATAAGTCGATCGCAACAGGGGAAACTGTACGCGGTTCTGAAAAGACGTCGATTCGGAAGGTCGAAGTTTCGTCTGCCGAATATACATCGAACAGGTTGACGTGTGCATACGTAAAATATAGAAAAATAACATTTTTATCCTTCCCTATCGAAACACCGCCGTATTCAGGCTGCGCGGGTGACGAAACGGGATGATTTACTTTGCTCGACGATGCGAGCGATGTACCTTTGTGACGTCAGAGCGCGTGTTCGATAACCTGGTACCGACGTGACTTACATATGTATAATATACGTACATGCACGTGAGTGTGTTCGTGAATTAGAGAGAAAGAGAGAGAAGAGACACGGGTAGGCTTGTCGGATCGGGACCGTACTGCTCGAAAGCATTTCAAAAGCAGCGTTGATCTCGATTATCGGGAACTTGAGCCGTTAAAACTGATCGGAAGAGCAACGACAATATACGTGGTGGTCTGTCAGAAACCGACCATCTGATTAAATTTATTGTCGTCGAGGATATTAGAGACGACGCGGGGGGAAAACAATACTCGACGATCGCTTCTTCGACGGGCCATATTTTATTCAAAGCGTTCAATGTCACGGATACGATAGCCTTGCATTAAGTAAATTACATTAAATTACGGAGTATACGCACCCTTAATCCCATGGAGAAAGAGACATATGGTTCGCTTTGCAGAAACATCGATAATCTTGATTGCCCTGTAGAAAACGCCTCTTAAAGTTCTACCTTTCATTTGCTCTATGGAATCGTCTAATTTCAATCTCGAAAACGATAATTACGTTTTCTATTTCCGACAGACCACCCTGTGCCGTTTGACGACGTATATAATTTATCGACGTAAATAAGCGAACGATACACCTTGGAAATTCACCTTCGGTATAATTTTCGATTTTTTACGTATACGATTTTATCGATGCTGTCAAGTACTAAAATAAATTTTACGGGTTTCAGATTCCATACTCGATCGATCGAAAGGGAAATCACATTTTAGTGTAATTGTCAGCACGATAGATTTCGTTACAAATATGTACAATCAACGTTCATAAATCTTCCATTAAATGCTCGGTGCTTTAAGTTTGTTACTTTATGTAGAAGCAGGGTCATGCCTATGTAATTTTGACGCTCGAGGCAATAATGATATAGGTACGGCGCCCTTTGCCCATTAGCTTTGTGGGCACATGCACGCACAACTACCACCACCGTTTCATTACTTGTTACGTGTATGTTTGATAAACGAATAAAAACTCGATTATTGCTTTTAAGAGGTAAATGGTCACCGGGCAATTTAGCGCGCTGAAAATGTTAATTACGGGAGTTCGGAATAGCGTTGAATATTATTGCGCGATCAGGATGCAGATGAATCAATTGAGACGTTCGTTCCGAGAATGAGAACGCAATAACGCACGTTGTAGGTCAATGAGAAACGTTGTCGTCCGTAACGGTAGCAGGTGTTCGAGAAGACGAGCAAACAGAGATAAAGGTGGGAAATTCGAAGCCGTGTAAGATAGTCAGCGTGGTCAAAGATCGCGGTGGAAACGAAATACTATTGACCATCGTCTTTAATCTCGGCCAGCATCGAATGGAAAGGTCATAGAACGCGAAACGAAATCCGGCCTCAGATTTGTTTATCCCTGCCTTGGGTTTCTAAAAAAAGCAGATCGCGATTCGAAACATCTGTAGGCAGAGTCCGACACCCGATTTCCTACAAAATCGATCACAGGTCTCCGACGGCGGCGTTAATTTTTGAATCTCTCGCCCCTCGTAACTTGGAATTCCAACGATTTATTTTCCCGTAATATTGGTGCACGGGTATTACCGATAAACCGAACGTAAGATAGTAAAAGAGTTCGATTTTTCTTTTTTATGTTTTTAAACTTACCATGCTGTATAATCTATTCACGTGTACTTAATGGGAAACCCTTTCTTTTTATATAACAGAGATGTGTTCAGGCTTAACGTTTTCGATCGATTACGCTGCAATTAATTTATAATATCGACGCGTGCTGTGCGATGATCGTAATTCCTCCCGGTAATATTTTGAAACAGGCTTCATTCGGATGAATATTTATATTGTTGATTATTCATTATTCGCGTTACTTGCGTTGTTCGTTACTTGCATTATTTGTTATGTGGGTCATTTCTCGTACGTGCTATTCGTGTTATTTTTTTCTATTCTTTAACTGTGTTATTTATTTAAAAGGTGCAGATTGTAATATGCATAGGCGTAGATTATGTGATTTGTTATTTGAATAAGAAGCCTTTGTTCGAATTCATTGTTGAATTACTGTTACTATTCGTCGTTTTCAGATGGTACATCCAAAAAGCGACGAGCAACGGCAGAGGCTTAGCGAGAGCGTCAAGAATATTTTTCTGTTTCGAGCCCTAGATGAGGTAAGTTAAACATAGTACGTACTCTGCTCTGCTCGTAATTGAAACGGGAATACAGATCGACGAGAGTTCGCGCCAACTCGTGGAAATGCCAATGAATACGTGTAATCTGCTCAATTGGGATTTAGATTCAGAGGGAGACTATCCAAGGGAACCAAGCTGACTAGATACAAATATAAACGTCCAATGATCGTTACCACGCCTCTGGCATTATTTTTAACACGATATCTACAATTTTCGCATTAACTCGAGCATAATTCGATTCCATTAATAATTGCATACGTAATTGCATCACAATATTTCTAGCATTCCAACATTCCTAAATTATAACAAATTTCGGTCTTCAAACTCGCAGAAGTCTCCTTACGGCGCAGTTTATCCTTGACTCGATTTCCACGCGTTCCCTGCAATACCGAACAGATTTTTTCGATGTTGATTAACGTTACGGACGTTTCAATTTACGCAAGAGCGTGTTTAAGGTTTTATTTTGTTATCTGAAGTTTCGTCGCAACCGTAACGATCGTCGTTGGCGTCCTTAAATGCTGGAAAAGATTAAGACACCAGCTGTAAGATATTCACAGCGCGCGTACACGCGCATCGCGCGAATTCTTTTTCCAGGAACAAATGGCGGACGTGCTGGACGCGATGTTTGAGAAAACTGTACAGCCGGGAGAATTCATTATCCGGCAAAATGACGACGGTGACAACTTTTACGCCATCGAAAGGTAATTGGATTTTTCCTCTCTCTCTCTCGTCGAACAGAGAATGAAAATCGACCATGGAAAATTGATCCACCTGTCTTCGTCCCGTTGCTCTTTTCAGGGGAAAGTTCGAGGTGTACGTCAAGGATCCGCAGACGGGCGTCGAATCCATGGTACACACCTACGATAACCGTGGTTCTTTCGGAGAGCTCGCGCTTCTATACAATATGCCCAGAGCGGCTACTATCAAGGCCGTGACAAACGGCACATTGTGGGCCATGGACAGGCAAACTTTCCGACGTATTCTTCTGAAATCCGCCTACAAGAAGCGCAAGATGTACGAGGATCTTATCAACAAGGTCCCGATGCTCAAATCTCTCAAGGCAAGTACAACGGAATAACCAGAGTATTGTGTTAGTCGAATGACTTTATCGTTCACGGGGACATCAAACACTTTAAAAGCTCAATCGTGTTCTACGAGTTAGAGACAATTGGTAAGGTGGGGTCGAATTGGTCCACGCTTCGAAGCACAGTATTTGATTATAGTCGCTTACCTAGAGCTTTGTGTACTCTGTGTGTAATTCATCGACGACCCGATCAAATTGATTTTAATATACCGGTTCCTGCTATTTCATCGGCTAACGATTTATGATTCCTCGATTGTTCACGGTACAGTGATACAGTATTATTCGGGGTGCAGGTATCCGTTAATTGTCGCGGTTTGTAGAGAAAGTCGCAGCTTCTGGCAGGCGTTTTGTTCGCTATTTGCATCGTGGTTGGTGACTTTCTCTTTGAACCGCAAGAATTAATGGGCCCGGTGATACCTACAGACATGATGTGTAACAATGTTATTTCCCTACAGTCTTACGAAAGCATGAACCTGGCGGACGCCCTAGTACCAAAACAGTATTCGGACGGTGAGCAGATAATCAGGCAAGGCGACACAGCGGATGGAATGTATTTTGTCGAGGATGGCGTCGTTAGGATTACTATACTCGGAGACCACGGTCGCGAGATAGAGGTACGTTGGCAAGCAATATTTTCATTTTCCATCGTCTAACATAATTACGACGATCATTGACCTACATAGCTCGGAACGGCGAGGCGGGTACTGGTACTGCCATGATTGTTAGGAGCCTAGCGCGCTAATTACATTGTCGATTGTATAGATGTCATTTGGTATTCTATTTGCTGTTACAGATTAATAGAGTCCCCGCTGGTGGGTACTTGGGCGAGTTGGCGCTCGTGACACACAAACCTCGCGCTGCTTCGGCCTACGCTGTAGGTGACGTAAAGCTAGCCTGTGAGTACTCTTTTGATATATCTCTATACGCGGTTAGAAGTTGCTGTTGAACGTATTTGTCGGTCGACGAACAAAAGAACAAAAATTTCATTATCAAGAAAACGTGTTCGTAATCAAAATACATAAGATATCTGAAGAAAGGTGCCGTTTAAAGAACATCGTTAGTTTACGGAATTGCGCAGTTATCTGTTACAGTCTGCTTGTAGAACAAAATTGAATCCATTTTCCGATGTTTTACTCGTTTGCATTGAATAAGAAATCAGTAGAAGATATTAGCTGTGTGTGTATAGTAGAATTAGCGAAACGCCCTCGTGGCATTTAAAAACGACTTTTTCAGTTTTGGACGTTGAAGCTTTCGAACGATTACTCGGGCCATGTATGGAGCTCATGAAGCGTAATATCGACGATTACGAGGATCAGCTAGTTAAAATCTTTGGCAGCAAAGCTAACGTTACCGATATCCGATGAACTGTCCAGAGGTAGTGATACGTTGCACTGCTGTACCAAAGGATACGACTTTCGTACAGTAATGTAAGATGAGCACAAAAAACTTGTACCAGTCACTTACATGAATCTCATCCGCGTGTTTCAAGTTATCATCTCAAGTCGACTTTCGTAATGACTGTTCATTTAGGCGTGTACCAGTAAGGATCGTCGTTAATAGTTACCAAGTTTGTACCTATGACACACACTGAAGGACAAAAAGAAACTTGTATAGGTTTTTCTCGACTGTTCGTATTCCGCATGACGGGCACTGATGGAACTCTCTAAGACTGCATCAGATCAAGAAGTATTACCTTATCTTGTCGTGTGCTCGATCGTTTACAAAATAGAAGTCTGAGTTATCAAATAAGATTCTCCGGAAAAAAAGAAATACTCGGGATGATGCAACGTATCGACAGACTCGCGCAGTTCTCAAACGATCTACGTTTTACGCCGTTCTTTGTTCTTACATTCGACACTTGGAGAACTGTATTCCGCTTTAACGATGACATCAAGTATCAATGAATTAAATTATTTTTAATGCTTGGATGATCTTCTCGATCGAGATAAAAACGAAGGTACCCGACGGTGTATCTTGCATTATTTTTCTTCGTGGTATAGTAGAAAAATTTTTATCGTTAACTTATCGTGGAAATACAAGCTTAGCTGTACGAGAAGATTAGAACGGAAATGCATATTTTGAGATCCGGATATTCGGTGTGCTTCTTACGATCGTAGCCACAACGCTATGTTAGGAGAATTGAATTAAAAGGGCAGAGAGCACGACAGGCAAGTTAGAGCAATTACTAGTATCTACGATACAATTTTTAACGGAGAATACAGTAACTATTTTTACGAGAACGTGGCATTTAAGTTAGATTTCAGGAAAAAAAGCAAGAGGATATATATTGTTTCAAATGTTACACGTTCCGTCTAATTCTTATATAATAACGCCTGCGGAGAAATCACCTCCTCTATTATACATTTAACAGGACAATTTTCCTAATTCCCATGTTCCTAATTTTACGATTTGCTCTTTGCGTTAACGAGAAAGTATTACGATACGTATACATGTATTTATGTAGCGTATAATACGACATCCGTTTATTTAATTGTTTATAGACACGCACAACAGATTGTGTTGAATCATTATATTTCTGTATTATTTATATTTGTTATCGTCTATCGTCGTTTGTTACAATTTCAAATAGAAACGCTTGCTGTTACGCACATTGCTATATTTTTTGATCAAAGAATAGCGAAATTTTTTGATTAATTCGTTCAAAGAGTTGTACTCTGTCACCACAATGTGTTATTCATCGTTTTGCTATGTTGCTTCATAAACGAATCATCGTCAAAATTGTGGTACCATCGCCAGATAAAAAAAAAAGAAAAAAAAAAGAACAAGAAATAAACAGTCTCTTCTTGATACAGACTCGAGCGCGCAGTCATATCTTTCGCAGGATACGGTGCCGATGCGTTTGCAAATTAACGATGATTATCGCGGATGTTTAAGGACAGGAACAGACAAAAGCAACATTTTTCTAATTCCCTCATATTTTTATCTATCCGAGATCTTTATACTTATTGATGTTGTGAACTTGTACGCGACACTGCGAATGAAATGAGTGAGCACTCCGGTCTCCAACGCGTTTATGTGTGTCTTATCGGTGAATCCTGGTAACAGAATCGACCAAAAGAACCTATGAACCTATTTTTGTTACATGTGTATGATACACGTTATACATGTATGATATACGTCTAGCATCGTGATAAAAAAAAAAAAAAAAAGAAGAAGAAAAACGGTTTCAAACTAATTTGAACGTTGTGCGAACAAGTGCGTATGCTAGTCACTCTTCGTGGCCGCGTATGGTCGTCGTGTTTCTTTCGCGACGAATTACACCGACCGGTCAGATGTAATTTTTCTTACTACGAAACTATGTATTTACTGTGCGACTGAAACTCAATTATAAGCGATAAGCTTTCTAAATAATATCACAATCACGGTGGAAGGATAAGGAGACTAGTATATATCTGCGTATATACTATTATATGGAAACGGAGGAAAATAGCAACAGGGTTTTACTAGCGATACGAACGAGAAATATTTTCTCAGCTTCGGGAGCGTTCGAATTATAGTATTGTAACAGTTAACGGTACGTTTCTTCTCCGGTAAATTTCTTGGACTCGTCGCTATAGTTTATTCGACAAGATGAAAAATCTTCTTAATTATCGTGTCTTTTCATAAAAAAAATCAGCTTCGTGTCAAGGAGCGGAAAATGTTTATATTTTTTCTGGTGTTTCGTAACAATGCCCCTGAAGTCGACGAAATATTTCTCGTTCTCGACCGATACAAGGAGCGCTAATAATTCATGGTATTTATCAACAAAAGTTGCGTAAACGCGTGAGTTTGTTTTTTATCGAGAAATATACGTGCATCGTACGCTTTTAAACACCTGTGTTGCATTTACACGCTTGAGGCAATGTAGTAACGAACGAGTATTACATTTAACATTTGCCGGAACTTCCCGATTCGAATTCTGGCGATCGTGCCATGTTCTTTTTTTTCTCTTGTTTGATTGTCCTTGGATTTAGCGACGCCCTCAGCCGTGGTTCTTAGTCTTCCGCCGCATCTCCAGGCTGTGATATTATTTTTGGCAGAGTATTTCATTCCTTTCGCGTAGGTCTATGTACGAAAAAAAAAAAGATGTTTCTTGTTACGACAGCTTCCAGAAAATCGAAAGAGAAAAACAAGAACCTAAATTATCGTGGAATTGAACGATTCCAGAGATACGATTGACCGAACTTTATTGACCGTTGATTGCATCGTTAAGGACGACTAGAAGTTCCGATCGGCGACTCGAGTGACTTGATCGTTAATCTCTAATGGAAGAATCAGGCAATTAAGAGTAGAGAAAATACGCAGTATATATATATATGTATATATATATATATTGCGGAGGATTATTCTCGCACACCGAATTGAAAAGTATATTTAGACGGAGTACTTATCTGTGCGGAGCCAAGATTCGATAAATTAAATGTAAACGCTTAAGTAGAGTTGACCCAATTCAAGTTATACTGTATGTATCTTTAACCAAGCGTGTGGTTCCTCCTACATGTGTTGCGTGTTGCCCTTCGTGTGTGTGTGAGTGTATGTGACGACCGAGCCAGTAATTTATTACTTGATTTGCATGAGCCGTTGTCAGAGAATTTTCGTCCGAACGGCAGTATGTTTCACGTTATCGTCATTGAAAGTAATCATCGATAAAATAACTAACCCGTTACGAGCGTTGCGAATGAATCTCACGTAATCGTGATCGTAATCGTACGACACACGGTTCACTGTGCCAGGGGGGTTCCTTTCTTCATTAGCTTCCGAACAGAGACGGCGATCGTGTAAATTCGAAGACACGCCAGGTCACTTTAAATCCACGCGATCGCGATCCGTTTCTCGCCAATCTAGTCCAGAACGACGCAATGAATATTTCTGGCCAAGTAAACGTGTACCAAGCTGGGTGATGGGTTGCGCGGCTAATCACATGCTTCTGCAAGCGTCGACTATCATTTCCGTTGATCGATATTCCGCGTCGTCACGCTGAAAGTGTTCGCGAACGTTTCCGATCCACCGCGGTCGATGCTTCAAGGAAGATTAATTCGAACGAGGCGTAAACGAATTGTCAGGGTCCTATCGATGCAGTTACAATATATCGTTTATACTCGAGTAAGATTTCGAAAATCGACGCTTTTTGATTAACGCGTTCAAGGTGCAACGCCGAAACCCATCGTGTTCCTCGTACGCAATTTCCGTTTTCCACTTGTATCGTTAATATCTACGTCCGTTCCACGATCAAACTGTGCTGTTATAGCGTAACAGTCTCTCACCATCGGACCAATACCATAGACAAAAAAAAAAGAAAAAAAAAAGCAACGGAGCTTGCGACTATTTTCCTCGCGCTTTTCTCTCCCTTCTGTCTCGTTGTTTTTTAATCGTGTATCTAAACAGATCTAGCGCCGTGCTAGGCGAACGTACGTAAATAATATGTACGTAAAATCTCTACCGTCTCGACTGTCTTTGCATTTAGGCGACAGTGAATAAGTAAATTTCGTCATCGCAGCGAGGGCGTTAAGATATTGGTCGCTCGAGGCCACCCTTCGACGGAGTTGGCCAATTTTTATTCTCGAACAACGAATAAAAATGTTAGACTCGGCTTTGTTCCTTTGAATATTTGTTTGAAATATTAAACGCGCGTAGAAGTTAATTTACCGATCGATCGAAAATTTGTATCCGTTGTTCGTGAATAAAATCTGGCCTCCGATGCGCTCTTCGACTACCCCACCGCTGTGTCTCGTCTTTAGGCGATTTTGAACGAACGAAAATTTTACGAACCAACTTTGTTCGATATCAGTTCCAGAACTTGTACCGTTTCATCGACCCTGTCTTCGTTCTTGCTTTATTAAAAGCTCCACCCGCGTACAGCATTGGTATAAATCGCGTATAGTGGGTAGAAGAGATATAATGAAATTTCCGAGGTAGATTCGAGTGGTACGCGAAGACCGCTAAATGTGTTTGTCGCCCTTCGTGTACTCAAACTCTTACTGCGCTACCTGTCGCGAAAACTCTACAGAATTAGTCCCTTGACTAATTAACAAGCTCGTTATATGTCTTCCATCCGCTATATCCGACGAGACTCGCCATGAAGTAAGTGGTTTTGAGCGACCATAATCTTTTTCTACCCATCCTGCACACTTTGTTTTACGTCGTACAAGGATTTTGTATCAAGTATATAGCCTAAAGCTACATGAACAGATCCTAAACGCGCCCCGTGATAGACAAATGTCCCGAGGGTGAGAATCTCTCGAAACTTCCGACGCTTTAAGCGAAGCAATACGAGCCACTAACTCGATTGCGTATAGACAATCGTCCGATGTTGTCGCATGAAAGTCCCACACGATACAACCGTCACGCCTATTTATCGTTTTGCTTCTTGATTATTGTACTCGTATCTGTGTAACTGAAACTGCGTATACCTTTCAGTTAACAAGCACGTCGTCGATGCGGTTTGGCACTGATTCGATTGCGTTCTTGCTTAATCTGACAGCGATGTTGTAACGCAACGTTCTCCGGAAGGGGTTCGTCGGTGATCAGGGGAGACCGGAAGGGTTTGCGTGTCGCATTCAGGCCAGGGGAATTAACGATATTTTCTATTGAAACCAGAACGAGCGAAAAAAAAGTATTCCTGTGTTCGTACGTTGTCGTCTTGTTAGGTCCTTCGATTCGAAAAAGCGTATCGAGCCGAAAATCGTTCTATTCGTCTAATGAATGTTTAACAGATATACGTGTGTGTGTGTGTAAATCTTCGAATGTTAATTGCGATACGAGCGCTGTTTTTCGTTTTGCGTACCGCGAGCCTGAAACGGTAGAGTTCGACGCCCTCTTAGACCGCGAGACACGAAAGGTCTTGGGCTTGCTAACGAAATCGACAGACCACGAAGGAAGCTGGTTCAGATACATTAGCTTATATATTTAACGCACGAAAAAATTGTTCGTCCTTTGCCGAGGGTTTAAACACCGCGACGACGCGTGGCTTTGTAAAGGAATGTGTGCGTAAAATCGACGTCCAGAGTTCGTCGACTATCTTGTTAATGGAATTGCATCTGTACATTTGCAGAGAGGCTGTCTACGAGTAAAGAAACGCGATATTATGATTCGACGGCGCGCTAAATAAAATAAGTCGTATTATTGTAATACTATCAGGGTATTGAACGATCGAAAACGTGGACACGTTGGGAATGTCATCGTGGCGCGTGAAAAGTCCTCGAAGGCGTACTACTACCGTCGGGTTTTCATCCGTGAAATACGAAACGGGGTACAAGATAATCGCAAGAACGTGTCCATTATCGAGATGTTAGGCCGAATCGCAAAATCATTCCGGGCGGCTTTGAGTATTTACCAAGATGCTAACGGTTTATACGTTTCCTGCCTATGATCGTAATCCGTTCTTTCGCGAATAGATTACTTTGAGTGTTCTGTGCGTTACGCGAGAGGAATTGCAAGTTGAGCAGAGTAACTGGACAATTACAACGGCGAGACATTGAGAAGATCGAAATTTGCTAGTATACGGAGCGTCTCGATACGCAGCATACAGTCACCAAAATAAGGTGTCAATTATTTTTGGATCGTAAGTAAGCGGAATAACGTATTTTTTTGTCGAATGATTCAACTCACGCATCTTTTAAATTGATTTTCTTGAAAATTTTGTTGCGTAAAATGTACACCTTCCAGGGGTTCTGCCGCAGATGTTATTTTAGGAGATTGTTCTATGCTTAAATATAAAATCGTTTAATGTTGTAATCGTATCGACTATTTTGCGTGCCCATCGAGCAAGACAGCCATATATTTTCGTGATCGCTACAATATTATCGAGATTGTCGCACTTCTGTCCCTGTTATATTTGTTGATGCTCAAAAGCCGCATCGTATTGCACGTCCGAGCGAGCTGGTAATATCGCTCCGGCGCGAGGTCCACGAGAGATGTACGTTTTAAGCTGGATAGATTTTATACACGTATACGCTTGCGTAAGAATGTCCTCTCTCGAGTTACAAAAGTGTTTGTAAACTATAAAGAAAGAAACACAAAAGAAAAAGAAAAAAAAAAAAAGAAGATAGTAATTATTATAACGTACTTAACGTTTTTTCCGTTTCACAGTGTGTTGTAGCGTAAAACAAACGTGCACATACGTATATATATATAGATATATTATATATACACAGAATTATATATTAGATATATCGTTATACATATATATGTCGAGACTCGTTTCCAGCTGGTCTGATCGGGTATTACTTTAATAATTATAAATTGCGTTAACCTGGCAGCGATGCGATTGCGAGTAACATTATAGAAAATGACGCGTGCAATCACATAGTTTATTGTATAGCGCATAACTGTCATGCCGGCGACAGTTTAGTGATCTGTAGTCCATTGGCAATGAAAGTGAAAAGGTGCACTAGTTGATATACTTCTGTTGTTCGATTCATAGAGATAATTATACATTATACACGATTGGAGAATCGTTTGCTAACTGAATCTTTAACTAGGCAATTGGCATGTAAAACTCTTTTTCTCTAGATTAATATGAAAATTGAAATTAAATTGTTGCAATATATGAATTGTTCTTTCATAGTACAGATATATAAGACGATGTAGGGTTGATCGGTTTCACTAATTCCTTCGTATTTATTTATTGTTATGCATATTCCTTAGAAAGTAATCGGTTAAACCGATAGACATGTGTAAAACACACACGAGTGTAGGCACACGCAATTAAATTCAACCGAGTACCGAGAACATTAATCCGTTAATTTTCTATATTCTACCGATGAACGTCGATCCTTTTTTCATCTGAAATGTTTGCCATGTGGAGGTGTTGGTCGACGGAATTCAATGTGATTGTACCGACAAGCGAATATCAGATACATACAGTGGAGAACTACGTGGTGTGCTTATCCATGCTCGATTAGACAATGATACGTAGCTACATGCTTCTTACACAGCATCACTGCCGGATTAAGTAGCGGTGTTACTCTTTTCGACGAGCATACCTAATTTGACATTATAAATTTCGGCACACAAATATTGTCAAATCTGTACTTTTTAGTTTGGTCGTACAAATTCGTTGACTATGTTCTCGAAACAGTCACTACTTGGACATCTTGCTCTCGTATACTTACTCAAATTGATCACGATGGTACAAGTATTTCGACGAGTACGATATTTCCTGTTACCATTGTGAAAAAAACGTTACTTATTTGTTTATTTACCCGACGCGAGTTCGTATTCGAGAAGCGAGAAACATTAGACGTGCAGTGTACTATGAATAGATAGTATAATGAAAATTAATATATAATAAATGAATGGATCTGTACACACCTAATGTATTACTCTGTACGAAACACCCTCTTCTGTTTTTCTCTTCTATTCTTCCAGCCTCTGCTCTTGCTTTTCGGATCGTGTAACTGCGACTGGGAAACGTAAAAATTGAAGCATTTCCAAGTAGGTTCTATAAAGTTATTGTTTTCTAAACAATTTCTCATTAAACAGAATTATTTATTTCTCTTTCACTCGATATTTACATTATCTGATTACAAAACACTGGACAATTCTAGCATTTTCACACGCTCACAGAATTTCTAATAGAATCGTTTTCTTTGGCTTTGGTATTGCCTTTACGAAATTATGAACACTTATTGTAATTTTTTCTAGGATGGTATATTTAAATTATTTCGATATATAACTAGAATTATAAATGACATGGCCTTCAACAAAGACAACCTCATTTGTTCTTGATCAGCATTGTTCATCTGTATATACATTTCTTTCGTATCACTGTCTATATTTATATTTATTGATTTCGTGTTATTAAACTTAATAACACTGTCTGTTGCTGTTATATTCACAATATATTTTGAACATATGCTTTCACCGCCAATCATTAATTTAAAAATTCGTCCTGTTGTTTGGGGTCTAAATACGTATATGTTCTTTGTATTGTATTTTCCTAGAAAACTTAATTTTATGAAATTAATGTTCTAATAAACAAAGTCAATGTTTTTAATGGTAATATTAATAATAATATGTATATATACCATCTCTTAATGTTAGACAAGCCATGATAGAAGTGGATAACTGTTCTTGAATACTTAATATTTTTTGATGTTTTGTCTTCATAAACTGAAAATCTTCTATTACATAAACACTAGAATTGGGTATTTTTGCAACCACAGATGTCACCTACAAAAAGAAATAATAATTAAACAAAATATTACATTGTACTCTTAAATATCAAATTTTATAGTATTTACCACTGAGATCAAGTTATACATCTTATCTCTACAATTCAAATTGTACTGTTTCCAGTCCCAATGTAACACTTTCAAGTTGCAATCTATTAATGCCCAACTTATCAAGGTAGGCCCAACATGTAATCCTAATGTTGTTTCTGGAATCTCAAGTAGTTTACAAAATTGTATTATTATTGATATTAAAACAAAGGAATATTAAAGTAAGTTATATAAATGTATATGTACCTCTGGCTTCTTAATACAAGGTCTTACTGAAATTGCACACATTTTCTTTAACTTCTTTGCAATGATCGAAGTACAGTATGTATATATTGCATTGTGTCCAAATTTATCTATTAACAATAAATTCTGCAACGATTTATAAGTTCCATTTATATTGTGCCGTAATATTATCATTTTAGCATACAATGATCGAATATAATCTGTATAATGATAATAAAGATTATAATAATTCAATATTACATGAGAATAAAACATTAAACCTAATGAATTAATTCATTAGTAATACAAACAGTAACAATATAAATTACTTACTTCGTTGTTAGTTCTGTTTTGTTACTTTCATTTGCTACTTTTAAAATATTAATTTCTTCTTGTAAATCAAATTCTGTTTCAGTATTGTCACTTCATTATTACTTTGTTGGTTTCATTATTTTATAGTATATTTGAAATAGGTTAAATCATGCTTTCTATAAAATAAAAGTAATAAATAAATGTTTTCGGCATTGTTCTTTTGTAACGTTTATTGGTATATTATTATCGTTACTGGAATAATATTACTAAATGTAAACTTCTTAATTTTATAAAAATATAACGAAACATATTAACAAATTTTATTGTATACATTTCCTCCGGCGGGAAATAAAAGTTTATAAACAAAGTGATTGCGGTGTGTTGGAATACATAGAAAGCCGCGCCGTATCTCGAATAGATAACAATAAATATACACTCGGTAGAAGTTATAGAAATTTTTGTACTATTATAGGAGTTTATTATTTATGCGTGCATAATAATTACAGTTTTGCAGTGAAAGGGTTAAAAAGATAAAATATATAAAGATATTAAAGAAAAGTATATTAAAAAAAAAACATAAAATAACAACGATCTATGATATTTTCATGGGCAGAAGTAAATATTGAAATAGTTTCATTTAACTTTCTACATGTTTACATGTAGTTTCTTTCTGAAAAATTTGGAGAAAGAAAGAGAAAACAATTTACCAAGGCAACAAACATACATTTGTTTGAATTGTCGCATTGGTATAGAAAGTCTTCGAATTCTTCTAAGCACACGTCTATACAACTTTAGTCACATTTATACACAACAAGCAGAAGAGAATAAAATTGAAATTTCAAATCTAGCGTTAATTTTACACGTGGAGTATTACGAAACACTATTTGAGTATTACAGTAGATTTTTATAAAATTTAATGGAATGCATTGTAGATATATTTGTCCGTTTAATTTACCAATCTGTATTTTTCCGTAAAATACTTCGATAAAATGATTATTTCAAATTATTTAACATGTAAAACGGTATATATATATTGTAAGTGGTAGGATAAATATGCTGGTAAACACCACTCACGTTAGAGTAAGTTTTCTTGCAATGAATGTGAATTGAACAAAGTATCAGGTTAGGTTAAGTTAGGTTAGGTTGATGTACTGAAGTATTTATGCAACAATCAAATAGTTATTTTATTATTTTAGCATAATGAGTAGCAAAGCAAATGTTGCAGGTAAAACTCTCGTCACAAGGTCTGATAAAAATACCGTGGAAAGCAAACATTTGGTAACGTGCATTTTGGAAAATTTCGTATTGTTCGTGAATTTACCGTCGTGTAAATATTATTTGTGTAATAAATTTACAGCCTTCTTCCGAAGCACCTTTGGAAGACATTGTTTTATTTGATAATTGTAATACTCTGGTAGAAGTTACCGTGAAAACGAATGGTCGTAAACGTACGTCAACAATGGTTAGCAGCAGTCCTACCAGTCATAAAGGAGTAGAGGAAAAAAGAAGACCTGGTAGCAACGGTGACTCTCAGCAAAGCTGGTGTCGAGTTTTAAGAGAACAAAATCGAACAACTGTGAAGCAAAGTTTACAACAATCTGCAGGGCGAATACTAGCTTCAAAGTCAACAAAACATGCAAATGAAACTAAAGAAACGAAGAAACATTCCTTGAATCATCAAAGACACGAGGTTGGTTGACCTTGTATATTCTTTACTTTGAGTAGGTAAAGTTTCTAAGGAGGAAGGAGGAGAGACCAGAAATATTTTTTTTCTTGATTATATCTAGCATAAACATTTGGATGAAATTCCTGTCAAACAATCGGTTTCTCAAAAGAGAGGGGAAGAACAGATAAAAGGCACACCACGTACTACTAATCCATCGACAGCGTCGCTTCCAAGTTCTGTAGAGTCTATTCTAGTTCTTGACAGAGGTGTACAATGCGGTGGAATATTTGATTGTAGCGATGATAGATTTGGTGCATTCAATCCAGTTCGTACATTAGGCTTTTTAATGAAGGAATTGGAACACTCTGTCAAGGATGATAAAGCTAGTAAAATTCTTACCGATATGGAACAAGCATTGCTCAGAATACCAACAGAATCTGGAAAAACATCTTTTGTGGTATGTTTTTATTGGGAATTGTAGGAAAAAAATTGATACCAAAGATAGGTACTAAGCAGTATTATCTATGACAGGATATAGAGGCTATGACGCTTCGTACAAAATTAGAAAGAACTACGATGCAGTTGGAAGAAACAAGTCGAAAAATGAATACAATGTGTGAAACATTGCGCGAAGAACGAGATTGTTTACAGCGGTATGGATTTCCAATAAAAATTAAGCATATATTAGCGTTACCATGCAATGTACTTAAATATGTTTTATTTCAAATTAGACAAGTTTATAAACAAGTTTTAATGTTAAATGAAGCTCGAGAAAGGCAGTTAGATTTAGAAACAACTCTAAAAACATTAAAACAAGAATTACAAGAAGCAATGAAAACGGCTCAAGCTAGAGATAAGATAATAACCGAATTAAAAGAAGAGATCAAGGGCAATGAATTTTCTCAAAAAGTCGTAACGGATTTAAGAACAAAGTTTGCGGAACAAGCGGAGCTTGCAAGGCAAAGGCACTTAGAGGTGCAATATTTAACCCTTGAAAAAGACAAACTTACTGTTTTGTGTTCGTACAAGGATTCGTTATTAAGTGAACTCCGTAATGCAATCAAGTTAGTTGATTTATAATTGTGTAAGTTCAAGTTTATTCTAAGAAGATTTTATAATGAATAGCTGTCTTGTATCCTAGGGAGTTGCAGCATCAAATCGCAGATCAGTTAAGTAATTTAAATATTTATGTTCACGAAGAAAATACCAATCCACAAATCTCATTGGTTCACGGTGGTCTTGCGTGTTCATCTCCAACTTCTACTTCTTCCCGCGAATCAAATATACCCATTTCTTGGCATGATACATCGGATGTTTCCTTATCTACCGTGGATCACATTCCTCCGAAAAATAGAGACGTACAGAAATTTTTATACGAGCCGGAAAAAGTATCGGCTGTTCCGGAAAACTATGTTGGGAATTTGGAAAAGAAACGATCAAAACATATTATGGAATCTCAAGCGAAAGATTCCGTTAACTTAGAGTTTATTAGTTTACCTGGTGGAGAATCTTCGCTTACGGTTTTACCTTCTTACAAAGATCTTGGTTGTGCAGAAATTAGCCAATCAGGTAACTATGTCCGATATGTATGTACGTATTATAAGCATTTTGACGAATTTGGTTGCATAATATTTTGCTTCTAGTTCATAAAGGGAAGGAAGATATAACAACGTACAATAACAAAAAGAACGATAATGTACATAATTCAAAGAGTATCGGTAAAATATCTTTGCCAGAACGTTTGAATTCGCCTTCTGAGAAAGATCACGAGAAAGAACCACGTATGAAGGATTCGTCGAAAAATCGAAAGTCTTCGGGATTACAAAAGAAACAAAGTTGTGAGAAAAAATCGGCTGTAATCGGAGACGCTTCTAATATTTTAAAAAGTAATTTACCTCACAATCTATTAGGTTCTACTATATCGGAACAATTTCAGAATATGTTCCAGGATATTCGGATTCAAAGTAGAATGCCCGTTAATGTACCAAGCCCGCCAAGGAATTATCCCCATCCTGACTGGAGCGATAGTACTTTACCCAGTATCAGTACTGCTTCCGAATTATCCCTTTAGCTGCGAACGCTACGTATCGACTATTATCATTTGCAAAGTCTGCGTATACACGGTCATGATCGAAGCAAGGACTTTGTTTGATCTGACAAGATACAGCTAATAGTTCGAAGTAGTCAATGTCGAGTAACGACGGAGAATTTGACTCTTTATCGCATTTATCGTTATACCGAGCTACGGTGCCACGCACAGGCAGTAATTCTTCAGTCGAAGCGCGTTGCAGCTAAAGTGCATTACTAAATCCTTTCCACAAAATAATATGCAGTGCCTTCGTTCAATGAAATTATTTTTTATCCACGGAAACTCAGTTTCAGGAAACATAAAAATTAAATTATATTTTTATGATCTCAATGATTTAACAATATAATTTTAAGTGATAATTTACAGGAGATATACATAGTATAAATTGTATCGATTTTTGGCTTAAAATGTACTTTCCTATTAATATATGTATATTTGCTTTTAACTTGTAAATCTAAGTAAAATTTGTACACAAGAATATATATAATTTAAAAAAATATTGTTTATAAACATTTGTTATAATTATTAATTGAAAGGAGGGTAGAAAAGGCTTTCAAAGTTACGCGTAACATAAAAGAGGTTACATGTATTAATTGTACACAAGTGAAAGAAACTTTGCAGAGTAACGCAATGGCGTTAATGCCAAAGTATTACACGTACGTGTTATAACGATGCATTGCAGTGTTGGTGTACAAGGTAATATAAATTGGTAATTCTTAAAAAAGTGTTGCATGGTTTAATTGATAATAGTTTTAATAATGGAAAAAAAATGTAATGCGTTCGTTTTATAATAAACAATACGCGTATTATTTTTAATATCTTTACGTCCTTTAATAAATTCTTATTAAGAAATTGCAAGGACACAATATAAATATGACATGAAAAACCAGGTGTATATATATATATTTTTTATCACATATGTATATATACAAGTAAAGTATAATACTTATATTTTGTAAGTCTTAATAGGATTAAAAGGGAACATTTTAGTACACGTAAAACATTCATCAATTTTGCATAAAGACGTCTTGAAATACATATACATGTTTCCCAGTAAGCGTGTACTGTGTACTCTCTCTTCGCGAAAAATTCGATCTTTATGATTATTTTCCGTTTCTAGCAACCGAGAAACGTTCATCCGCTAACAACTATCATAATACGAACACAGTCCTAACATTCGATGCGTGTAAAATAAGTAATGTTAACTTCAAGACGAAAAAGACTGTCTTCGCATTGAATGACTTGGATGAAAATTGCGATAAAACGTGAAATCTTAAAAACGTTTATTTGATACGTGTTTATTTTCACGAGGAACCTTCCTCGACCAATTTTCAATGTATTACCCCTATTCTCGATGCTTTCAGTGTTGAGAAAAATCGGAATTTTGACGTGTTAATTTAAAATTTCGCGCCGTTTCTTCGTTCTTTTAATGGACTGAACATATCTTGAGTTCGAAAACGACGAGAAACATTTGCACCCTCGAAGAAAATTCCTTCGTATTCACGCGATATCGAAAAGTTAAAGTTCCTTTGTCGGATACGTATACTTTCACGTACAATTCAGTACGGTTTTTTCTTTACGACGTACTCGAGGTGTTTGAAAAACATAAATCATTTGATTTCGTTTATATTTATCGATGGTGTCCTTAATTAATTTTAGAAAGTTTAGTCTAAAAATCATAATAGAAAATCCTTTAACCTACGAAGAATGCAGAAATCGAACGTCAACGGTAACGATAATTATTGAATAGAACCGTAACGCGAAAATTAGATATTAATATCTCCCGGGATATTCTTAACGATGAAGGTATACAGGGCAAACGAATTTTTGTGGCTGCCGTGATTCTAAAATTTTCGTCCAAGTACATAAATACTCGCGTTCGTATATATTTCATTATTTGTCGTACGAAATTACCAGTATCTCGGTAATAATCTACGATACATCGCGAATCACAAAGTCTTTCGTTATTTTACGTATTGTTATCGTAACTGCTCTGAGGTATTACGTACGTTTGTGATTTAAGAAAATCGGCATTCTTTGAACATCATTCGAATCCTTTACGGGGAATATATTTTCAAATATATTGATATTATAAACGAAATTTTTATTAACCCACTTTGTATCGATCTTCTTAAAAGATCATCGAATCGAGTAATCGACACCGATTGCCAATTAAATGAGCGTTCTCATTTTCAAACAAAAAAATCTTGAAATATAATTTGCGCTTTTCTAATTGGCTGTCGATGGTATTACATTGAAGGTTGTCACATGTGCTGTTCGCATTTGGAATTCAAATTTACAGTTAATTCCCTGCAACGCTAGTTTACAGTAAACTTTTTTTTTTCGGAGAGACAGTTGGCAAATGCGTAGCATTGGATGCGCGTTCGAAATCGTGTAACGGTCGGAAATTAGTTCAATCGTTTCAAATTGGTTGCATCTCATTAATAAATTAAACGATATCCATAAAACACGTTTAAAAAGTGCATTTACAGATTGTGAAAGTATTGTTTACAGGTAAAGTGTTTTGAAGAGAAGAAAAATGAAGAAGCATTTGCAGAATCGACCATCAATTTCACAAGATTTCAAATTCGCCTTCCTGCAGATGTACGGTTAGTTTCGTAACGATACCTTACGATAATTTTTATTTTCGAAGAAACAGTTGGCAAATGCGCAATGTCGTATGCGCATTCGAAGTCGTGTAACGGTCAGAAAGTAGTTGAATCGTTTAAAATCAGTCACGTTGCATTCACAAGTTAAATGATATTGATAAAATACGTTTAAAAAGTTGCATTTACAGATTGTGAAAGTATTGTTTACAGGTAAAGTGTTTCGAAGAGAAGAAAAATGAAGAAACATTTGTAGAATCGACCATCGGTGTCACGAGATTTCAAATTCGCCTTCCTTCGAGCTGTTACGAGTACCAAGGGTAAGTGAAAAGAAAAATATTGTTTGTCGGATTGTTTAAACAAACAGCACATTGAAAACCTTCTCGTATTACATATATCTGTATACTTGGTACGTATGTTGCGCATATGTGTGTGTGTGTGTGGGGTGTGTGTGGCGAGTGTGTGTGTGTATGTATATATATATAGCTATTTTTAATACATATGTACATCTTTCCTTACGAAGTTAATGTATCAGTATTTGAGACTCATTTTTTGGTACCGATTGGTTTTTTGCTTTTGATTTTTATTGGAAATTGCGCGAATTATCGGAGAGCGTACTTGAGGTTAATGGTACAAAGAAAGTATCGTACGACAGATGGAGCACAGTAATATTAGCATCTGGACAGACCATGTTGAGTCACTTTATTTAGGTTTGGTTTTTCTTCCGCCATTTTGGCCGTTTTACTTAAACCGAATCGCGCCAAACGATTAGCGATCTGATTTCCATTTGATTCTCGTTCACGCGATACATTTTCATTTCTTTTTCTTACGGCTCGTGAAACGAAAGGGTGCAAAATGTTACCGAAATCTTGCGCACGATAGCTTCACATAAACGGGCACGAAACGCCGACGCGTCATACAATTACAATGTACCGCTAGCGTAGACTGTCGTATTGTTTACAATTGCGTATATTACAATAGACGATCGTCGAGTAGAAATCGTAAATCTCGTGAGTCGATTAAAATGAATCTAGCCGACTTTGTTTAAATATCCTACTTAAATAGTCTCAACTATGAATATGCTCGAATATAGCTCAGATATCGGAAGTGATAGTGGGTTGTTGTAAAAATAAAAATTTAACATTTGTCATCTTGAGGTTGCGTATGGAAGGACATGTTTTATTGTTTATTGTACGTTATATACTGCTTTGTTCGGTGTAAAAATATAAAGCATTTCGATTACAGACTTCGTATGTATGGGCGTTACCATTGTTACCGAGTAATCGGCAGTTATTACGATAATCTCTTTCTCGATCTTCCTTGATGCAGGGTTGCACGAATAATAATTTATTAAAGAAAACGACGACAACGAAATTCCCCCTATCAACGAACTTTACGCGACGGAACATAATATCGATGCATCGTTGCATCTGTCGGTACAATAGATTTCTAAAATATACGATTAACCTTCAATCTGATCTTTCAATGTGGAATAAATTTTCCTTATTTATCGACAGTGTTGTTCGACGGATAAATCTGCAGAGAAAGAAAAAAAAAATGTTCGTATACTCGATGCCCTTGCTTCAGTTTGAAGGTTACCTCGACTGTTTCGCGTCACTTAAATATGCCTTTTGAAGCGTCGAACAATAAAATCACGTGCTCGAAACGTAAAGAAGAAAAAGTACGCGGCGCGTAAGCAAGCTTTATCATCGCGGATCGCGAGAAAACATCGATGATAGTTAGATCGTTACGAACGAAAAGGCGAGAAGCGTGCCGGTGCAACCCAACTTCAAGAAACAGTCTCTAGCTCTCTCGTTCAACTAACAATGGCCCAGGCTATGGAGTTAATAATTGCTTTTACGTGGCAATGATAACAATATGCGTGTATAACAAATGTACTTAGAAACGGTTTCACTTGTGCTATTACTGCTCTCTGGCGATAAAAATCAGATATCATTGTTCAACTGCTGGCTCGTAACAAGGGCTGAGGGAGAGTTTGTTGGCTCTTTCTGCGAGTTTAAACACTATACACTTCCTGCTTGTGCGCCCAAAACGTGGCGTACGGACCCGCGAGCGACGACGACCGGTCACGGTCCGTCAGGCGCGCAACAAGACGCGCGCATTCAACTATATTCACTATTTTAACCCGAAGTAACAAACGTACGTTGGGTTATTTTTCATTTTTGTATTGTAAAATTAACGAACCTGTGGTCCTGTATATACACACTAGTGATTCCCATTTTTTCCTTTAAAGTGTCTTTTTTTTATTTTTTTTTACGTATACCAAGAGAGACCACGCAACATAGTATCGTGATCACCATCGACGCCTGACAATCGTACCGGTTTACACGAATTTAGCAAATATTTAATTTTCTTAGCTATTTCATTTTTATAGCTTGGTCTCCATAACGTATCGTTCTCGTTTCTCGCGTACAGAACGTCTCTAACATAGGCGTTGCACAAAATAGTTATCGAAAGAGCGACAAGAATTCCCTTCGTCGTTTTGTATTTACGATTGCAATTGTTGGATATCAGTATCGTCTTTTTTTTTCGAGGTCATAAAGTATACGAAGCAAGGGATTTTCAAAGATATTTCTGGTCTTTCAGAGGGCATTTATATAAGATGATAAATAACAAGCGACGAGAGAAGTTTCATCATTGATAACTATTCTTTTCAACTCCTATCCTCGAGATAATTTCCGGAAATGTATCATTTTTGTTCGTTTTCTTTTTTCCTAATATCGAAATGTGT